TTCTGGAGGTGGCTGGGGGGAACGAGAGCAGCAAGTGACCCCCATTGCAAGGCCAGACTAGCAACAGAAAGGCTTTCTTACACTGGGATGCAGTCTGGCGTGATGCTCAGCTCCTGGTCTTCAAAAAGGCTTGTCTGGACTGCTGCTAGATATTTCCCCTTCTTTCTTTCCTAACTAGAAGTAAAAGATTACCAATCAAACATTCCAACCTGCCCCAGCCCTGCCCCGCTTTTCCCAACCCAAAGGCATCGTTCAAATGTAAACTATAATAGTAAAGTTCATGCGAACACAGAACTGGAGGGAGATGGAAAGTTGCTGCTATCAATATGAAGGAAAATGTATTCTGGAATGCAGAAGGTAAAATTAGTCTTTGTTCGTGTGCTGGCCACTAGTCTGCCATTAAGGTCTCTTGGTTTTTTGTACTCTGGAAACAAATTTTGCATCAGTTTTTCAGAAAATGCTAGTTCCCAAATTATATTATACCATTTTTGTACGTTTAAACCCTTTGCTTCTTTCCAATTTCTAGCTAAAATATTATTGCCACCAATAAGTAAGCAAATAAATGTTTATGCAATTAGCCTTTGTCGTCTCCACTGGATATACTGAATTTTTTTTAATAGGTTTTCCCCAATACTTTTGTTATTTGTAAAAAAAACTCATTCCAGAACTGGGAGGATATTTCCGGTTCTGATATTATTTTCTTCCTTCCCTGCTCCCCCTTTCCTTTCTATTACTCTCTTGTTCTCCCCCACTTCTTATTCTTCTTTCTTTCGTCTTGATTCTTCTCTGGCTGCTCTCAAAAGGGTAGAATAGAAGCAATCCACTCGATTCCTTCCCTCCCTCACATAAAAACCACACAAGCTGTCATGGCTGCTCTTTGCCACAAGAGGGTTCTCTGGTCTCCTCCCTGATTAGCTGAGAACCACTCTAAATGCACTATAAACTCGTTTGGCCCCTAAGGAAAATGCCTGAGCGCATTCTGAACAGCTGAGAGCCAAGTGCATGCTGGGAAATGTAGTTCCAAGGGAGAGAAATGCACCTGCCAGTCCAACTTCCCAGGAACCAGAAGTAAGGAACATGTTTAAAACCTCTACCGTATTTACTCGAGTCTAATGTGCACCTTTTTTGCCAAATTACCTTGCGAAAATTAGCATGCATATTAGAATTGATGGTGCATTAGACTCGAGTAAATACGGTAATTCTCATCAAGAGCCTTCTGGGCACCATGAGAGTTCCATGTGAGCATTCCTGCGCCCACAGGCACCATGTTGGGAACCCCAGGGTTAGAGTCTTGTTGCATGAGAATGAGGTTGAAATCTGACCATAGCCAGCCACTCTGTCTCAGCCCAACTACTTTGCAGTGTTGTTTTAGAGCAGGGTTTCACAAACGTGGGTCTCTAGCTGTTTTTGGACTACAACTCCCACCGTCCCTAGCTAGCAAGGCCAGTGGTCTGGGATGGTGGGAGTTGTAGTCCAAAAGCTGCTGGAAACCCACCTTTGGAAAACCCTGTTTTAGAGGATATAAAGGTAAAGGGACCCCTGACCATTAGGTCCAGTCATGACCGACTTTGGGGTTGTGGCGCTCATTTCGCTTTATTGGTCGAGGGAGCCGGCGTACAGCTTCCGGGTCATGTGGCCAGCATGACTAAGCCACTTCTGGCGAACCAGAGCAGCGCACGGAAACACCGTTTATCTTCCCGCCTGAGTGGTACCTATTTATCTACTTGCACTTTGACGTGCTTTCAAACTGCTAGGTGGGCAGGAGCTGGGACAGAGCGACGGGAGCTCACCCCATCGCGGGGATTCGAACCGCCGACCTTCTGATCGGCAAGTCCTAGGCTCTGTGGTTTAACCCACAGCGCCACCCGCGTCCCTTTTAGAGGATATAATACAGCTCAAATCCCCACTTAGTCCTGTAGCTCAGTTAGTTGAGTGACAGCTGTCATGAAGACTAAATGTTGGGCCAGTCACTCTCCCTCAGCCTAACCTACCTTGCAGGGTCGTTGTGAGGATAACATGGGAGTTGGAGCATTCTATATGGCACTCTGATGAGCGCCTTGGAAGGAAAGGTGGTAAAGTAATGAAATTTCCTGGGAAAGGATATGGGTTTTCAAGGCACAGGTCGAAGTCACTTTGCTTTCAGGCACCCAAACCTGAGATGTTCTCTGGGCCTCTTGTCCTTCTCTCAAGCACTTTCCCACTGCTCCTAAGAATAGCCACAGTGTAACAGGAGGAGCAAGCCCCCTGCTGAAGCACAGAGGCTTCACCAGGTTATGCAAATGCTAGCAGAGTATAAAGAGGTTAAACCTCTTTGGAATCTGTCCCAAATGTGGGTTCATCGCCTATCCCAGACAGGAGAGGACGAATGAGTCTTTTGCAGGGCCGTTTCCCTGCCCCCTAGAAATGTCACCCAGGCTGGTTCTCCCATTGCCCTGTGCTATTAGGGCTGGTTTTTAGCTCGGTGAGAGACACAGAATCATTTCGTCCACGCTAATGCGCTTGGAGCTTATTGCTTGCAGATGAACGTGGAGAGGTGACACCTTTACATTTTGAGGGAGGGAGGGGCTTATTCCTTCTGGTTTCAGCACGATGGAAAGGATTATCGCCCTTCTGTCAGAAGGAGATTGCTTATACGCTACCAGAGGTGTCAACATTAACTTGCAAGGCCCTAAATGATGTAGGACCCAAATACTGAAAGAAGGGCCTCTACTTATCCCAGCTTGTTGAGCTTGGCGGAGGAGGAGCTTGTTGGGTGAAGCCTGCTAGAGCCTTCTCTGTGGTGGCACCTTGCCTATGAAACTCCCTTTCCTTGGTAGTACAGTTGGCTTCTTCATTATGCTATGAGTTTGGGGGAGAGGAAGTAGGCTGTATGCAAGGCCTTTCTACCCCTGGACCCAGCAAGGCTTGAAATATAAGCCAGGTTAGCTTCCTGTGTTGAGACACAAAGGAAAAGGTGAGACTAGCTTGCGGTTGGTCAGAAGACAAAGCCAGAGTCTGGAGCAGACTTTGCACTGGTGAATTAAAGCAGCAAGTTGGAGAGAGAGTCAGGGTAAAGTTTGAGAACAATGTTAAAATTTCTGTTTGAATCCAAGGCTGTAGCTATGGGAGAAAAAAGATGCTTTTGTGGTGTTAATGCTGTGAACCCCTCCATCATATATGTGTAAATAAATCATGTATCATAAAGACGCCACAGCCTCTACTGTGTCTCATTCCAAAAGGAAACATGAAATCTGGGTAAGCACCTGGAACCCCAGGGATCTTGCATCACTCAAAGATTGGGGTGGCACACAACAATTATTTGGTTACTTCACTTTTTTAAAACAAGGCTTTTGGAGGGGATTTGTTTTTATTTATTTATTGAGAGATTTCTGGACCAGAAATGGTCACAAAATAAGGTAAAATAAATACATGGTAATGTGGAGCTGGAAGGGACCCCGAGGGTCATCTAGTCCAACCCCTGCAATGCAGGAATCTATTTGCCCAACGTGGGTCTCGAACCCACAACCCTGAGATTAAGAGTCTCATGCTCTTACTGACTGAGCTACATTAACGTAACAAGGTTTATTAATGTAGAGAAAAGCAAACGTGAAATAATGCCCACGACTGTGTTGTTAATTTTGCTTGTATTTTAATATAAGTTTTAAAATGTTAACAATTGCTATTACTGGAATGGTATTGCTTTAATGTATTGATTTTGGAGCATGAACTGCACTGGGATTGCAACTGATGAAGGGTGGTTTAGAAACAACCAATTAATGAATAGTTATATAAATAAGAAGGGTGATGCAGTGGCCTTTCAGGACCACTTTTCATATCCCAAACGTTCAGCAAAGCTTCTTTTCAGTACCAGGACTCCGGTCCCGGAACATGCAAAGCAGCAGTGAAAAGGATATTGCATCTGGACATTTCTGCCTGGATAGCACCGTTGGTTACAGCATAGCGCTGATAGCGCCAAGGTTGCAGGTTCGATCCTCATATGGGACAGTTGCATATTCCTGCATTGCAGGGTCCCTTCCAACTCTACAATTCTAGTATTCTATGCACGGAGTGCCTTTCTTCCACTACTGAAAAACTCAAAGGCTCCAGCCTTGAGTCCATTGCCTTTTCTTCTGGAAAACGACTTTACTGTGCAATTTGTGTGCTTGGGAAACCAAGGACCAACCCAAGGTCACAGGAGTCCATCTAGGAACATTTTGCTCATTTTAGTTTTACACCAGTAACAACTCTGTGAAGCAGCCTGGGCTGAGAGAGAGAGAGAGAGAGAGAGAGAGAGAGAGAGAGACCCAAGGTCCCCCAGGAAGCTTCACGGCTTAGTGGGGATTTGAACCCTGGTCCCCCAGGTCCTAGTCCAAACACGACCCCAAGCAAGTTTTGACCTTGCTTCCTTCCCAAAATGGAGTCTCACAAAACCTTTTCTTCATGGGCCATATATTTATTCTTGAAGCAGATGGCATCCAAGGAATCTTTCCTGGTATCTCAGTAGGAACTGATCGAAATAACCCCACCCCACCCCCATGAACCTCGGACACATTTGGCCCAAATAGGAACTGTTTCCCCCTTTCCCTCAATCCTTCCTCTGCGTCCAGCGAGGCTGGTGTTGGACGTGGGGTCCCCCACACCACGGTGGGGCGATTTCTCCTTTAAGAGCCTACCGGCTGTGCTTTAAAGGGGGTCCTTGGCTTGCCAGCAGCTGTCTTCACCCCCATCTGGTTGGTAGGGACATGTGTGCTGTCCCCTCCCCTTGGCCTTTTTAAGATGGAACCTGATCCCCCTTCCCAGGGCTGATAATACTTATTGAGGACTGGTCACGTGGGCTGGTTTTGACAGGTGCAGCTGCAAAGCAGGCAGACAACCACCGCACAGCCTGAACAGTCTTGGGGGGAAGCTTGTCCTCCGACAGGAGCTGAGGGGAGCAAAAGGGAAGGAAGGGGGCTGCTGCAGAGCGTGAGGGAGAGCAAGGGAGGAGAGAGAAAAGGGGGCGCAAGAAGGAAGAAGGCAACATGTCAACCACACACATAGAGACCCACGTCCAGTACAACCACTCGTACATGATGACGGAGGACTACATGGCACAGGAAGAAGACTGGGACCGCGACCTGCTGCTCGACCCAGCCTGGGAGAAGCAACAGCGAAAGGTAGGGGGACAAGGGACAAGGGACGGGGTGGGCAGGCTTGGACCAAGGACCAGGCCGTAGCGGACTTTCTGTCACCGGGAGAGGCGTCAAGGATGGTCACGCCACCAACTTTTTACCAAGACATGTTTTGTTTTGCTGGTTCTTCATTTCTGTTTGGTTCCCATGCTGGTTGTTTAAAAAAAAGGTGGCAATGTTGCATTCACATATATTTAAATAACTTATTGTGTGGCTAGAGAGTGTATTTAAAAAATTAATCCCATAAAGCTGCTAAAAATGCAGAGGGCAGCTCTCCACAGATGTCATTCTGAATAGGACAACCCTGCACGGTTGTTTTATTTCCGGAGACACCAGTAAAAGATTGCAAGATGTTCTGGGACGCCCCTTTCCCTTGTGGGGCAGCGAAAGGCCTTGGATGCGCCTCAATGGAAATGATGGAAGATGGGCAGCGATGCTTCCCAAATTTAAGAGGTTTCTGTGGTGATGGAAGAACTATGACCCCCTCGAGCAGGCTGGAGCTGATGGAAGTGGTAGCCCTAAACAGCTGGAAGGCTGTGGTGGAGAAATTTACTCCAAGTGTCTGAGGAGGTCTTTGCTTCTCCAGAATGAATCGTTGCCCCCATATACTGTGTTTTCTTCCATGTTCACCACCCGATTCTGCACCATGTTGAGGTTCTCGAGAACCCTGCGGGCCTTTAAACTTACAAGCAGGCAGTGCATTGCAGGCAGGGGAGGGGGCAGCCCCTTGGAGCCAGCTGCCACCCCGGAGCATCAGATGCTGTTGGCTGCAGCTGTCCCTTGCCATCACCCAGATCCTTATCCTATATGGAACCACAAGTGACATTTTGGGCAGAGTACGTCAGAAGAGACTCGCACCAGGGCCAGGGGTGGGTCCAGAAAGAAAGGGGGAAGGAGAGCATATGTCAGTGCAGTGGCATCTATCGAGGGCCCGGGCTGCGTCTGAGCTATGCCTGGAATGATGGAGACCCAAGGGAGAGGGGAAGGAATCGGCTAAATATATCCGTGCGTGGCAGTGGGGAACATGTCCTAAGCTAAGCTTTGAAATAATACCACAGATGGGGGATGTCCTAATCGCAAATGTTCAGAGGCAGAACAGTCCCAGGCCCTTTCTCCACCTTGGCTGGGATTCAGGGCTGCATTCCACTGCTGTACCTCTTGGCGCCTTGAATTTGGAGTGCGGAAAAAGCGCCAGGTCTACAGGTGCAAAGAGATTAGACTCGTTCACCACACTGTCAAATGAAAAGCATCTGCGTAAGTCTTTCAGGGCCCCACGCAGAGAAAACTGCTCTAAGACTTGCATCAAAGGCCGACGTTTCGCTGGGACTTATCTCTTCCCATACCGATGCTACCGCAACTGAAAAATCCACATGTGACAATGCTGCTCAGGGCTGGGAAGAAGGAAATTTGCAAGCCCCATCTTCTAATAACAGTAGCTAAAGGGCCAGACCTCCACCCTTTGGTTCTGCCTTCTCTGCAACTCTTAAACATACAAGAACCGCTCTGCAAGCCCATGTGAGCTACCAGGGAGGCCATCACCTGCCCAGGTCCTGTGACCACCATGCTCAAAGCTGTCACAGTTTTGCGGGAGGGATTCAAGCACATTCTGCAATTAAAACACCACAGGTCAACAAATCCATGTTTCTAAAATCAAGCTGAACTGCTTGCAGTTAGGAAAGTGACGGGGAAATCATAATTGTAGAATTGTAGAGTTGGAAGGGACCCTCAGGGCCATCTGGCCCAATCCCCTTTGATGCAGGAATCCTGCCTACGGTCATCCCTGAATGGGCTTGAACCACCAGCCTTCTGGTTGACAGGCAGACGCACTGACCCATTGCACCACTGGTCCACTTTAAAATAATGCAATAATGATCGACGATCAGGAAGAAGTATAATCTTAAGGCAAACAATTCAGAACAAATGCTCAATAAAAAGCAGGCATTGCATAACCTCCATGTAAGCTTGCGGCAAGGAAATTAGGACGACTGTTCAATAAGTGGGTCATCTGGAAGTGCCCATAGATTTCCCCCCTTAACCTCCTCCCCCTTGACACAGAGAAAGGCTAATCACAAGTATCAATCCACTGCTTTAGTCATGTGCCAAGTGACCGCCCCCCCACCCCGTCTGTCTCATCCAGAAAAAAACATTAACACCAAACAATCTCTTCACAGGCTCCCTCACTGTCCTCCAGGTGTGCTCACTTAAATTCTCACAGATTCCACATAACGTATTCTTACTGTGTTCTGCACCCTAAACAGACACAAAGAAGGCACTCACTGTCATTGATTGGTAGGCCCAAAGCACGTGAGTCTAATCCAGAGAATAAAGTGATAGATTTGAGCTCTGGGTTAAATTCTTGTTTTGTTTCCTCATGGACTGAGGTGGCAGCGGCCATCAGACATCTCGTTCTGGCTCTCAGCCTCAATTCCCCAATTGTTAAAATAGAGGAAAGAGCAGTCTGCCTCATAGAACTGTTGCTGCGCAAGTGAACCAAGCCTCGCTGCATGTTAAATGCATAATGCAGAAATGGCTATGTGGAGGAAAAAATGGCATGCAATTGTCCAAGATTATAACATTTTCCCCTATCATCTATCTATCTATCTATCTATCTATCTATCTACTTTGAAGGAAACCCTTGGTGGGGGAATATTGCGTTGTGATTTCTGCACCTAGGTAGGATTTAGAGAGTGAACAATGCTTATCTATGCACAAGTCATTTCAGATTCTGGACTTAATTGTTTTATGAGAGGGGGGTTGTCCCTGTCTTAATAAAGTAGTAACTTACTTCAATATGCAATAATCCAGCTCTGCTGTGTCCATCCTGTACATTTTTTCTGGACCATCGGTGGATGGGTGGGTACTCCAAAGTCTTTCCGTCATTAGCACCACTGCCTGAGCACTTAGCAATTAAATTGGGGCTGTGGTACCCCAAGGATATCCCTGCCCCTCAGGTCATGTTCTGTGCCAAATAACTTTTGCAACATCAACAAGCAAAAGGGTAATAGTCTAGTTTGGTTCAAATTTATGGGGAAGGCTGTAGTTCAGGGGTCAGCAAACTTTTTTAGCAGGGGGCCAGTCCACTGTCCCTCAGACCTTGTGGGGGGCTGGACTATATTTTTTTGGGGGGGATGAACGAATTCCTATGCCCTACAAATAACCCAAAGATGCATTTTAATTAAAAGGACACATTCTACTCATGTAAAAACACTCTGATTCCCGGATTGTCCGTGGGCCGGATTTAGAAGGTGAATGGGCCAGATCCGGTCCACGGACCATAGTTTGCCTACCTGTGCTGTAGTAGTTCATTGGTAGAGCATCTGCTGTGGATGCAAACAGCCCCTGTTTTCATCCTTGGTGTGTCCAGGTGAAAACTCTTGTTAATACTGAGCAAGATGGACCAAAGGTGTGATTTTCTATATCCCTGTAATGACAGAGACAGTGAGGTTTTTACACAGTATTTGACTGGCATTTTCATGTTAAGAGTTAAGGACAGAGCCTCTCCCGCTATGTTGGGGGACTTAAACCTAAGTGGCTTGAGATCTCCTGCTCCCACTAGATTTATGACCATGTTGCTCATTGCTAAGGCTGAATTAGCCTTAGGAACGAGTCAAGTTTCACATTACGGTTCCTCCAGGCTGAGAGGTCCTTTTCCATTGCTTCTGGCTTTGAGGGGGGAACTATCAGATCCAATTCATCCCCAAGGCCACGTTAAGTCTGCGAGGGTCTCTTTAATTTACCAGCAGGCAAATGCCAGCTTGAACATCTCCCCTGCTTAAAACGTGAGCTATGGCCTCCCTAAATGACTCAGACTGGCCTTTCCCAGGGGTTTCTGCTGGGCGGCCTAACCCTGCACTTTTGAGGCCTGGGCACCGTTCCCACTTATCTCATTGCTGACAGTATTTCCACACCTGTTCCTTTGGGCCTGCGACATGGCTGATCCTGCAGCCACTGCAATGTCGGGGAGAGACAGAAGAGAGAGGAAGACCTCATGGCAAAGTTGCACACTATCCTTGGACACCAGCCGCCACTTAGAGTGGAACAGGATCCCCAATGGGTTTTGAGCATCGCATGAGATAAGAGGGACCACACGTTTCTGGGCATGGGCTGCTTGGTCCCATGTCCATCTCCACCACTGGAGGCAGCATGCCTCTGAATACCATTCACTGGGAATCACAAGTGGGAAGATTAGCTGTTGCACTCAGGTCCTCGCATTGGCATCTGGTTGGTCAGTGTGAGAAAAGGTTATTGGATGACATGGGCATTGAGGCTGATCCAGCAGCCAGACTCTTCTGGTGTTCTCACTGGTTTCAGCGGGTTCATGTAAAGTTCCTACAGGCTGGTCTCCTTCCCCAAATTGGAAAATTTTGCATCTTCAGCTTTGCCCCTCTTTCACAAAGCCATGTGTATGCTAGGTAAACACATGCAGTAAATGAGATTGTGACAAACTTTGCAACAGGGGAAAAAATCACTGAGGTTTCCAGATAGATCAAGGTTTTGGGCCAAGACTAAGCTGCCATCCTATTCTTGGGTGGGTGAGAACCCTGTTCTATTTTTTGCAGCATTTCCTGCAGCGCTTGTTGCCAATGGATGGATGGTGCTTTTGGGAAAGGCATTCATGTAGCCCAGTAGTGTCAGAGCCCCTGCGCTGCGTGCAGGAAGCCTCAGGTTCAATCCTTGACATTTTCAGGTAGAGCTGGAAGAGCAGCCTGCCTGAAACCTTGGAGAGCTCCTGCCAGTCTCTGTGGACAATACTGAGATAACGGCAGATTCCTGTGTTCCTGTGCTGAACTAACCAACCTATCTCACATCATTAAATGCTCCCACTCTCTTGCACATACTCCTGTTTCAAGCAGCTTTTCACTTCAGATCGGGATCTATTGGTAGATTTCCAAATCAACTGCAGAAGATTGGCAAACTCAGTGGTTTAACTCAGGGACAGGCAACATGGTGCCCCCCAGATTTCCCGGACAACAACTCCTATCATG